GGGGGCGGCTGAGGGCGGGGCCGGGGTGGCAGGGAGGGCCCTGCCTGTGCCAGAGCCCGACCACGCCAGCACACACTTGTCTGACCCAAGGCCCGTGGTCGTGGTTCCCGACACCGTCGCGCCCTCCAGACCAGCTCGTGGCGCAGCCCAGCTCCGACACTGCAGTCCACGTGCTTCCCCAGGTGGGAGACAGCCCACTGTCTGCCTCCTGGGCCCTGCGGTGGGTGGCCAGGCACTGTACCCGGAGATTCCACGGACAAACAACGGGGATGCCGACAGCCAGGCCAGCAGTAGAGGGGCATCTGGGACAGCCCAGCCACACGCCACAGTCGAGGGGTCTCGTGCCACGCGAGTCCGGAACCTGCAGGCAGGGCCCGTCTCCAAGGAAAAGCAGACCGCGTTCTCTGCCATGAGGCCCCGCCCCATGGAAGCCCCTTTCTTTACCTAGAGCCCTGGAGTCACGGGGAGGGTCTGGTGTGGTTGCACGCGATGGGGAATCTCGGGGGTGTGGGTCTGTCTCGACTGATGCTCGGGCCGCCCAATGCAGAGAATCGTCACAGAAGCATGGCCCATCCCGCTCTCAAAGGCCAGGGAGCTGCAGCCAGAAAGCCAGCGGGGAGGCCGCCTCTTCCCAGGCTTGGCTCAGAAGCACTGCCTTTTACTCTTTTGAGACTTTCTCAGTCAAATGTGTCAGGAATGATCAAAAAGGCAGATTATCACGCAGGTTTCAACTGTCTCCAGGGGGAGGCCGTCCTCACTCACGCCCGGTCCTTCCTTCGGCCAAGACCTGCCCATTCTCGAGCCCACTCACCTCCACCCGCCCTCCTCTGCTCTGGCCCTCCTCCGACAGCCAGAGGTCAGCTCTAAGGCCCTGGGCACTGGATACACGGGCTTGCTTCCAGCCCCCAGCCCCACGGCCTCACTCAGGGAGACCATGTGTGTCCTTGGTGTCATGCTGGGAACACTTCCCACTAAGCTCCAGTCCCAGGCCGGGCAAACGCTGTCCGTGGTGCTGAACCACCCCCGGCTGACAAGTACCACAGTGAAGCCAGGCATGCGTGAGGGGGCCCTCCTCGCCCTCGGCAGCCCAGACCCCAGTAAACAGAAGCACGGGCACTAGTGCCCACCTAAGAGGAGCTGAGTATTAAAGCAGGGTTAACCCGAGTGCCCCCAAAGTGAGTCCTAAGCCACACGGGGAGCCCGGGGCCCGCACGTTGCCCACTCCGTGCCGCACTCCGTGCCTCGTGGCCCCTTCCTCTAGCAAAGAGCCAACACAGCCATGAGCTTCTTCAGCCTCCCTCCTCCACGTTCAGGGGCCCTGGGCTTCCAGTGGGTCCGCCCAGGGGATCCGGGATCACGTCCCACCTTCAGGTTAGCTGATTAGTTACAAACTCCACCTGCACCTGTAACGCCCCTTTGCCACGTTCAGTGATGTGGATTCTGGGGTTAGGATGTGGCGTCTTTGGGGGTCATTATCCTCCCGCCAGCGCCTGGGGGACTCTGAGCTGCCAGGTCTGGGAAGCCCTCTGCTCTACAGCGACCTTCACAGGTGAGCGTCCCATGGCTGGGCGCCAGCACACACCTGGGCTATGGCGGTGAGGGGAGCAGAGCCATGGGGCTGAGGGCCCCCGGGCATCGTCTGTGCCGTTTTCACTCCTGCCCCTCGTGCCTTTCACACCTTGGCTTCTCTGGCTGTGCACACATCTGGGGGCACGTGAGTCAGAGGCTCCATCACCTGCAGTTCAGACCTAGGGAAGCCCAAGAAACTAGATGTTTTTTCTTTGCTTCTCAGAATTTTATTATTTTCATGTTTCACCCTGAGGAGACTTGGTAGTCTGCATGGTGATTTAAAAAAATAGATAAATCAGAGTGAGGTTTTACTCAGTTGAGCCTGACCAGAGCATATGCCCTTTCCAAGGGTTTTACACTTTAGTAAAAATACAAGTGACTTTGAGTAAACTTGGGACAAAATGCACTTAGTAGACAAACAAGATTCTAGACGCATGAAGTCAGAAAACTGAGCAATGACTGACCTGTTTCTGGAAATGCCAGAAACAGGTCCAGGGGTGTTGGGAGCCTGTGGTGGCTGGTGGCGGGTCAGTGGGGTGCAGCTGTGGGGTCCAGGCCACCTAACCCTGCATGGGGAACTCTCCGCTTTGGGCAGCAGGTCAGTCCTTCCCAGCAGGGGCACTTCCAGGCCGGCAGCAGGTGGGTGTGGTCAGTCCCGCACTGATTATTTATGATGCACTTGTGGACTTGGGTCCATCATAAACGCTCGGTCACTCGGACGCTGCAGCAGTGGCAGTAAACGGGTAACAGCCATAAACCCCGGCAGGCGCCCTGCACTCACGCTCAGCTGATCTGGGCTGTGTTAGCACCGATCCCGTCCAAGGTACGCTTGACGGCACCTGCCACATCATGTGGACCCATCAGGGACATCTTGGAAGGAAGCCTTGGGAACTGCTCAAGGTCATCAAAATGCCGCTTCCCAGCCTCCGTGTCGTCCACGGGCACAGGGCAGATAGCCGGCTCCCAGGTCACCCCCTGAGCTGCCCCTCCTGCTGTGTGCCCCGCAGGGCTCTGAAGGGCACAGCCTCAGTGCAGACAAAGCAGGGCAGGCCCGGGCGATGGCTTCTCCGGGTGGAGGCGCCTCACGGGGACCTGAGGCCGGGCTGGACGTGGAGGCGGGGACTCTGATGGGCTGCTGCGAGGAGGGCCTGCTCTCACACAGGCCCCCCGGCACCTCAGTCCCTCTTGGTGTCGGCTGAGCTGTGTCCCTGCAACCTCGCCCTTACCCACCTCCTGAGCCCTGACCCTGATGCTGGACCCAGCCAGCCTCTGTCAGCTCCATCCCGGAGGGTCACTGCATGGAAGACAGCCCCCAGACCAGCCTCCAACTTCCCTGCCTGCCAGCAGCACCAATACCACCTGGAAATAGTTTGATTCACATTCCCAGACCTGCTGGGCCGGAAATGTGTGTGTGTGTGTGTGTGTGTGTGTGTGTGTGTGTGTGTGTGTGAGATCTGTGGTCCACCCCCTACCAGGGAGCCCAGGAAACGTGTGTGTGTGTGTGTGTGTGTGTGTGTGTGATCTGTGTGGTCCACCCCCTACCAGGGAGCCCAGGAAACGTGTGTGTGTGTGTGATCTGTGGGGTCCACCCCCCACCAGGGAGCCCAGGAAACGTGTGTGTGTGTGTGTGTGTGTGTGTGTGTGTGTGTGTGTGGCATCTGTGTGGTCCACCCCCCACCAGGGAGCCCAGGTTGAAATCTGCCCCTTGCCTCCAAGCCCCCGGGCTCCCTGGACAAGCTCTCTGGGGCACTTGCCCATGGCCCGGTCAGGGGCTGACCACCGTTCTCCCCGGGTCCTCCACACGGCCCCCCGAGGCACGATCCTTGACCTTGAGCAGAGCCCCATATGCCCCGGCAGTGCAGGGAGGCCCCCGTGCATGAAGACTCCCGTAGAGACCTTACCCTCGGGGACCCGAGCAGCTCCCTGCTGAAGAGCCCCCCACTTCCGGGAGGCCCTGTTCCCAGGCCTATCCTGCTCTTCCCCGGGTGCTGTGCCTGAGTCCAGCTAAGCAGACGTGACAGCGCGTGACCAAAGGAGCCCCACAGCGGTCAGCACGCAGGTCACCCAGATGACAGAGGGGGGCAGACGGGGTGGACAGCACGCCCACCTGCCGAGGTCCAGCACGCGGGGACAGGTGAGGAGACAAGCTCTCTGGGGGAGGGATGGGGCCGGACTGGGACCCCTGTGTGCACGGCCCTCGCTGCCCACTCCACAGAGCCCTCGGGAAGGAGGGGAATCGCACGGTCCACTGAGAAGGTAACGGGCAGAGGAGAAACATATGCTCAGGAGGAACCCCGATGTCCTGGGCCTCAGACCTTCCTGTCCGTCCTCTCCCACGTGTCCACGGAGCTTGGCCAAAGCTGGCTGCAGCAGTGGGGGGTGCTGGGCCGGGCCCCGTGGCAGCGCCCTCTCTGAGCCACCCGCCCCTCCCTCCACATCCCCCCCACCAGGAAGGCCCCTCCGACCCCCACCGGGACGAGGACCCACGTGGATCTCGCACCCCAACAGGTGCACGTGTTTGTAATTACAGAACACGGTCCTCACTAGCACGCGTTTTAATACAAACTCCGAGAGAACAATTGTGAGCTGTGAAACCAATCAGCAAAGGCTCCTTTCACTGGGGTGACAAGGCTGGGGGGGCAGGAGTGCAATCAGGACGACCTGGGCCGTGTGCTGAGAGGGGACTGGCGTGGAGGGCCCAGAGATGGGGGCGCTGGCGGGTGCAGAGCTTAAGGACAGGCGGGGTCAGAAGCAGGGGCGGGACCAGGTGGAACCGGGCCTCAAACAGCTGACTGGGCCCTTTGTTTCTGGGGAAAGCGCCACGGGGTGTGAACCGCGGATGCAGCCAGATGAGGCGCCAGGGGCAGGCACTGCTCCTGAGGCGGGTGTGAACGGCTGGGCTGGGCACTGACTGCAGAGGTCAGCA